TCTCTCATATGGATATTTATCTATATCTCTATCTATCTATCTATCTATCTATCTATCTACCTTTATCTCTCTCTCTTTACCTCTCTCCCCCTTCTTCTCTCTAAGCATGTCCTCCAGTGAGGATTTTAAAAAAATATAGTCCATTTTTTAATTTAATCTTTTACAAAACATTCCTATAGATCTTTTAAAAAGAATGATAATGTTAAGAGATGAAAGGGTCTCTCTACTTAGACAATGGATAAAATAACAGTCAACTTCTTGAGAACTTTGAAATCACTCTAGCAATTTTGCTAGTTATGCATCCAAGTCTAAGTTTCATATCTTGGTGAAATTAAAGTACCAATGTTCCATTATCTATTGCAGTCATTTAAGTGAATATTCAAGGAGGTGATTGTGTATGAATATGAAAATCTTGGTGTAAGAGCTCAGTGCGAGTTCTGTCCATTAATTTCTGCTAGTGTCCTCTCTTCTTTGAATCTATAGCAACAGCTGTATATTGGATCTGCTTCTGCTGTGGCCCAAGTCAGATTCCATCAGTGTGACCTGTATGGAAGTGCTTGTGCTGACTGCTGCCTGGCTCGAGACCCTTACTGTGCCTGGGATGGCATATCCTGTTCCCGGTATTACCCAACAGGCACACATGCAAAAAGGTGAGACTGAATCCTAGAATGTGTACTTCCCTGGTTTAGGAAAATGCTAACACATTTTTTTCTTCTGAACCTATTCCACAAAAATAACTATGTTTTTTTAATTTAAATTAATCATTTAGTCATATTTTATTTATGAGTTTGAAAACTTAAATTTTTCCTGAAAATAATACCCATCAATATTGTGTAGAAACTGGAGCTGAGCACACTACTAGATTTTTATTTTTCTACCCAGGCTTGAATCAACTCTTCCCCCTTCTGAAACTTTTGCTGCAAGACATGAAACCAGTTTAAAATGTGGAAATGGCAGGCCACCACACATGAGGGATTCAAAGACTTAAAAGGAAAATAAATAAATAAATTCTAAAATACATCCTGCATTTGCCCCATGTCCTCTCAACCAGCTGGTCTTCATTTATTTCATTTTGAAAGTGAATATTTTAACTACTAAGCAAATTCATGACCTGTATAATTAATGAAACATGTGACTTAATTCAACACAAATGAAAGGTACTTAAAGACTTCCAAACTCTAATGCCTACAGTTCAGCAAGGTCATTGCCACTTCTTAAAGAAGGTAAATCTCAAGATTCTTAGAACAGGAGATCTTGAGGTGTAGCAAGTGTTTTGAAGAATAAAAATTTTTCTACACTAAAGCTTTATGAAATTCTTTGGGGTAAAATATAAGGAAAAATATTTCTATTTCATTTAGAACAAGCAATTCTCGTTTTCTCTTAATAAAGTGACCAAAGATAATAAAAAGCAAAAACATAGAACTATATACGATTTCCTTGCTGAAAAGCAATTTTTACAAACTTCAATTATTCTTACTCTTTCACTTTGGATTACTTTTCTTTAAACCTTTTTCAAAATTTAATTTAACCCAATTAATATAGTTGTGTTCTTTATAGGTTCACATATATAATAAAACCTCATTTAAAAAAACTTAGTCACTAATTCAAAACTTTTGTTTATTTGGCCTTAGCTAAATTAACATTTCAATGAGTAAATGAAATGATATGATTAACAGAGAGTGAAAAGATGCTTTCAGAAGGCTAAATAATAAACTAAATCATTTACCAACTTTATTAAAGAATCAAGCAAATTAATTGATTTTTTAAAAGTATTATTCATATTTGAAAACCATTATTACAGATATAGCCATGTTATTATTTGAATATATTATTTAATGGATTATTCAACTCATAAGAGTTTTTATTAGGCATTTAATAGTGATGAAGAACTTTAACTGAACCGTTTCCATTGGTAAATATTTCTTGGTATATGGTACCTCTTATAAGGGTGGTACAACCAAAAGCTTGGTAGCATATTTAAGAAGGAGGGGACAAAAAGAGTCATTTAGAAAAAGTTAAATGAATGGGCAAAATTGTAGGCAGGAAGGAGTGAAATGCTGGAGTGGGGAGCCGTGCCCATGAATGAATTAGTTCAGTTCAGTGACATGTAATGGAGATCTTTCAGGGGTGTCAGATTCTTTTGAACCATCACTCACCCCTGGAGGAGAACTTTTTGGACAAATTCCAGCACATGAAGGGAACATAGTTTGCTTTTATAGCAGATCATTTTGCTTCAGGCCTGACTAGCAGCAGAAATTAAAAACTGGTCACTAAAATAAATACTTTTCTATTCATAGAGTGAAAATGAGTCAACAGAGGGGGGGAAAAAGATTGATATACAATCAAAACCACTTGTTTAAAATAGTCTTCCAAAATGCACTAAAATTTATAGAGCTAAGTCTTTTTCTTCTCCTTGCTCTTGTAATTTGTCTATTTCCAGGGTTCTCTCAAAAAGTTTCTATGAGGCAAGAGACATAAGGAAAATATGCAACCTTGAGAATAAAAGGCAACTTTGGATAACCTTTCTAAAACTCCTGATCATTCACATTCCTTTTTCAGTGCTGAAATAAGGGACAGCTATATTAGGGGAGCATACAATGGATGAAAGCCTAATGAAATCTTTCTTTTAGAATGCATTTTTTTTAGTGATTTTTAAACAAATTTTTGCATGGTTAGTATTGACACTGCTTGTCTAGAATTATCTGATTGGAATTTCCTTTATTTTCATGTCACTTGTATAATACACATGACACAACATCATTTCTGCAAAGTGGGAACCATTTTTCACGTCAGTGATTTACTCTGCTCCATTATTCATCCATCATTGCCCACAACACTTTGTATTCCCAGTACCAAAGAAATACTCAGTGTAGTGAGCACTTAACAAAAGCAGTTAAAAATCTCACCTAGAGCTGCCACCAGTTGTATAATAGCTGTGGATGTTAGTAGGAATTAATATAGAAGGATAAAAGTTTTTACTTTTGCTCTTTACTTGTTTGTCAAGTTTTATTTTCAGTTTAGCTCAATAGATTAATCCATGTGGCAGATTTAATCCTAACTTGGTAAAATCTTGGATCTGTAGATAAGGTTTGCTGATCAACAATTTGTATTTAAAAACAAAACATGATTTATACATAGGTCATCATCCTAAAAAAATGATTAGCAGTGTTCATCTGCTCTAGCTTTCAATATAGGGAAGTACTTAAACAATTGTTGTTTAAGTAATGAGTTGTCAACTAAGATCTGAGCTCACAGGTAAGAATGTACTCCATATCTTGAAATAATGTTCCATTATCATTATGGAGAGACAGTGAAGGGAACCTAGAATGAAAAAAGAAGTTGAAACTAAAAGAAGCTTTAGGTGTCAGACCAATTTTGTTTTACAAAGGAGGACACAGAGGACCAGAGAATGAAAGCGATATGTATAAGATCATATGGCATGTGAGTGGTGGCATTGGGATTTGAATCTGGTTCCCTTTTCCAAGTTTTATCATTGCATATAGCTAAAGCTTCTCATTGTCACTTAGGAAACCGCACCATCTCTCTGGGGTAAAACTTCTGCTTTGCCTTCTGTTTTCCCACAGTTTGGGGGAAATGCCATGCTTTAGAGAAGTGGTATATTCTGCCTTCATGGAATACTTCTGTTTTATCTATAATCTGAATTAATATGCTGAAGATCTTGATTTTAGAATTCCAATGCTAATAATGATAATTTCCATTATTTAATCCCCCAGAAAGCTTCTTACAAAGTTAAAACATGATTA